TTTTTTTTTTTTTGGACAGCAGTAAGATCTTACTGATATCTTAGACAGTAAATTTAGATATATATACAAAGTTTAGACTTAAATCATTTCTGCACCATAAAGAATTTTAAACAGCTTTTTCATGCATTATGAGTTAAAAAATATGTCTTTTTAATAATGACTACATGACTGCAAAGTTAAGCCGTTCTCATGGTATTTTTAATGTCAGGAATTTATATGTTGCAGTTTAACACAATTCATTAATTATATTCAATTCCATTGGCCAAAAACATTTTGGTTGATGTTTGCATGTTTTGCTGTTTCATAATTGCTTTATTGTTTAAATAGCATTGCTAAATATAGGCTACCTTATTCTAAATGCATATGACTTTTTAAAACTTTTTTTATATTTCCAGAATCAGTGTCAACATGCATCATGTGTCCATTGCCAGCCCATGCAATGCGACAACATACCCCACAAAAAGTCAGCGTGTTAAATAAATCTATTTTCAATCTCTTTTATTTATTTATTTTTGACCACCAACCTCAGTCTTCCCTTCAGATTTAGTGTCAATTCATCTCGGATCATCTCACCTTGCCAAAGGTCTGCAAGCAGTTCAGAGCCGGACCGCAGAGCAGCGCGTCAGGAGCCCAACCAAGATCCAAATCCAAGCAAAGACGCAAACTGGCGCGGCGCTGTGAACGGGAGCTGCTGTCCACACAACAAAAATAATATTGGCGATGGCAGGAATGTCCAAGCGACTCTCACGACCTTTTATGGCGACAGGGGCTGTTAAATATAGCCGTAGTGCACAGGAGTATCGGCGCATTTTACGCTGCGGTTCTGTACTTAACCTAACTCTTTACGCGTTATATACACTGGTGTTAGTTTATACGATTGTCATATACAGTATAAAAAAGTATGAATGATTTTGGGTTTTACATAATAACCAAGTGGCGTTTATTTAAGGAATGATAGTAACCTATACAAAACGTTACAGAAAAAAATATAGGACTATATATGCTACACTCTTAATAATAAAGGTGCTTCACGATGCCATAGAAGAACCTTTTTGTCTAAATGGTTCCATAAAGAACCTTTAACATCTGAAGAACCTTTCTGTTTCACAAAAGCTTCTTTGTGGCGAAAAAAGGTTCTTCAGATTATAAAAAGGTAAGAAAGAGGTGGTTCTTTAAAGCACCTTTGACTGAATGGTTCTTTGTGGAACCAAAAAAGGTTCTTCTATGGCATCGCTTGAAGAACCTTTTGAAGCACCTTTATTTTTAAGAGTGTATATGATTAACTAAACCTGTGATATTGAACATGTCCACTATAGCTTAAACAGAAACGATCTCATTTTCATCTAGGAAAAACTGCATAAAGTGCCTACAGTTTGAATCAAGTCAACGAAATTACTAGAACTTTATTAATAATAAAGGTTAAATCTTATATATGTACATTTAAAAAGAGCTGCCCAAGTCCTTCAGAAGGAAATGTAGGAAAAGGGTTTAAAGCCATTTAAAAACTTTCCGTAATTTCTTCTTCTTCTACTTGAATAAAAGTCACTTTTCTAAATAGTTGGTAAAGAAATAGAGGAGGTCTGGAGCTTCAATCTGACCAATTTTGAGGTTGATCGTTTAAACCCTCTAGCGCCACCAATGGGTCAAATAGGTTTACGCTATATAGCTTTAGAACTGCTTGGTAAAGAGTTGTGAAAATTGGAAAAGAGAGAAAAGAGGGTTGAAACTTCAATCTGGCCGAGTTTGGGTTCAGATTTTTCAAACCTTCTTGCGCCACCAGTGGGTCAAAGTTTCACTGATGTT